CCCCAACTTTCTTAATCTCTCCTCTCCTTTTTCACTTCCCCTTCTTCCATGTCTCATCCCACCTCCTGCCATTCCTACCTCATATTCGTGGATTCCTGCTCACTTGACAACTGACCTACCATTTATATTTTGTCCTGCAGCCACTGTATGAAGTAGATGATTTACGAGATGCCTTTAAAATTCTGGGACTTTGAAGTGAAAATCATCAGCACTCAGAAGACTTCGCAAACACTTGCTCTTTGATTTCCAACTCTCTCCCTTATAACAGATCTTTCTCCTCTTCTCTCCTTACATGGCTCTTCCTCCCAGCCCTATGTCTAGAGATAAGACTATCCTTTTTGTTTCCAATGAGAATTAGGCTGATCTTGTGAAGACACCTTCTCCAGGCTCACACCTAATCCTTTGCTAACTGGGAATAGCCAGGACTGCGGTGACATTGCCAGAGAGTGATTTGCTTCCCTTCAGTCACTGCAGAACTAATCCAGGTGATCCACTGAACAGAGCTCTGGGTTTAGCCTTGCCCATGTGGGAGCAGACAGCCTGCAAAGCTGTTTGTGTGACTGTGTTCTCACTGGCACTGCACTGACCTGCACATTTCATGAAGGCTTCATTGAGCACGTTTTTTGGCTCTTAGAGCTGGACTCCGCTCAACTGCTCTGTGTCCTCCCCTGTGAAATGGTTTATTTGTCCTTCTGGATGTTGGTAGGAAGTCGAAAACTGTCACAACTGAAGTTATACACCCTATGTATCAACAGCAAAGTTGGCCAACCACTGGAAAGCTCAGCTGAGAGTGTTGAAATGAGTCCTTGACAGCCCAGGTAGCTCAGCTTGAAAACCTCACGTGAAGCCAGCAGGTCTGTCTAAGTGGATTACATGCAGAGCACCACAGCTCTCACTGTGTTGAGTGCTCTTCATCCACTGAGCATTTCCCCCTAGACCAGACATGCAATATGCTCCCTCCCCAGCCAGCTGCCTCTGTTGGAGGCACCTTTACAGTCCCACAGTCTTCTGGTTTTCCAAGTCTTTTACTGCCCATAATATGGCCAACAATGTCTAGTTGGTGACTGTACTGAGAGTTGGCAGAAAGAAAAAACCTGGCATACTCAAAGCTCTTTGGCCTGCAAATAGATATCTTCTGCAGGGGCAAAAATCAAACTATCCTCCTGCCTGGCAATCACTCTGTTTCCACTAGGGGACCTCATTAGCTCCTGATCTAGCGGACGCAGCTCTTACAAGCTGAAGATACAGGTTCACAGTACATGCCTGCTCACCACCACCTTCCCACCAGCTAAATGACAGCTAGATTGCCCTCTCCAATCTAACCTCTTGAGGCTTTGACAAGGCTAAGTGTGTCCCACACTCTGGGTGTGTTCTGTCATTTCCTTCATGATGGCTGCAAGTTCTCTGCTCCATCTTCTTTCTGGGTAAGGCTGGAGGCTCCTCAGAACACCTCATCTGGTGCTAGGCCAGCTGCAGGAGGACAGCAGAGAGCCCTGCTCCTCCTCCTGCCGGCAGAGGTCACAACCAGGTGCATCACAAACTTCCTACAACTTCAGGCTCCCAAGGCGCTCTCAGCTTGAGAAATTTTGACCAGGAATAGCAATGACAGTCCCTTGCAAAGCATTAATTTGCAAGCATGGTGTTGTATATTTGTTTCATATGGTGCATATTATTTATATAAATAAAGGTCTTACAAACAAGCATCTGGTTTTGTAATTTTTTTGGTATGTGGGTGAAGAAGGTAAATTAGACACAGAGGATTGATGTGTCATCTCTTCTTTCTGATTTCTGGAGGTACAACCTGGAAATATTAAAATGTCTTCATACTTCTACTTGTAGCTTTGAAGCTGTTGACAATGTCACCCAGTAGATCAAGGCAGATAAATTGGTACTTTGAACATGCTACCAAAAATCTCTGAAGTTATTTGAGATGCTTCTTTCATTGCTAGCCAGCCTATTGTGTCCATCCATGACTCATAATTGACCATAATGGACACAAAAGGGCTGACCCAATATGCTTCACAAAACAAGAAGAGAAGCAAAGATTCTTCATCTTTCAACTTTTGATATTGGCCTTGTCAGTGAAATTGTCCTTCAAAAACAGCATTGTCCTTCTCAGTGAAATTGTTAGAAAAAAATCACATTTTCTTAAAATGGAGTTGAGACACCATCTTTTGCTTAAATTCTGACTAACAACAAGTTGAAGATAGTTATTGAAACATGACAACAGGTGACATTGTATAGGAGAAGAAAAAATTTAATGAGTAAATGCAAAGAATCATGAACTATAGTAAGAATACATCCTATGTTTAGATTCTTCTGAACATAAATCTGATTAAGTTCAAAGTGGATGCTAGAGTTAATCCATGTGATTCAGCTATAGGAGTTTAATTCTTTTAACTCACAAGATTGTTTTAACTGCAGTATTTCACAAATACCAATTCATATTGTTTGTTACAAGACATTCATTAATTTAGCTTTCTAAATTAATTCAGCCTCAAACACTTAAGGTGTCTCTTCCAAGAGTAACTCCCTGGAGGGTGACTGCTATGCAGTAACATTACTTTATTAACCCAAGATATTGTTCTTGCTTTGGAGACTGTTTAGATAGTGAACATTTCACTACTGATTATATATTTTTGAGAACCACTTATCTTTACAGCCTTAAGGAGATTGTGGATGTGCTATTCTAGGTGTCTCTCTCCTTTATATGCACCTGGGCAAAAGCTAAGCTCTCGAGAAGACTGTGGCAAATATACCTCCAGTCCTAGCTGCCTGAGTTGTGGGAAATGCGGGCTTGTGATTTCTGGGAGAGCATTTCCTCCCCAAACTGTGGGGAACAGCCAGACCAGGGGCCTTGGTGCTCGCTGAAAACCCCAGCCTCACTTGGTCAACACTCCATGGTTTGCAGCCATGAACTCTGAACACAGGCACATCCAGGTAGCTGTAACAGATCGGTCTTTGATGAGAGAGGAAACAGGAAAAATGGGATGGCAACTGGTATGGACAACTGGGCATGGCTGCCATCTCCTGGTGTCAGAGGTCTCTGCCACTCTGCTGAAGGTGTTGCCTTGAAGGGATGTTGATCCATGCTGCAAACATTTCCCAAAGCCTGTCTCCGAACAACCCCCAGAACGTGTCCACAGAAGAGCAGGACACTGACATCATTCCCACAGCTGCACACAGCATTACTCCAGGTCAGTACACGGTGTCCTTGGACTTTGCAATAATGAGAAACAGATTACCATAAAACAATGCAAAGGCACACTCCAGACCCTTGCAAACACAAGCATGTCTTCTCCCTCCCTGCTTTCTCTTCCTCTCCTGCGTGCCAGTACTTGGAAATCAGGATAGAATGGGGTTTCAGGGTCATGGAATCTCCCTTGTTACTTGTCCCTTCAGGGGGTTTTCAGCCTAGATGTATTTGTGTCCAGCATTGTCTTTGAGTGTGTCTTTCAGCTCTCCCTGGTGCTGACCCTTTAGCATTCCTTTGAGCAGAAATGTCATTATTTCATCACATATGTGTAAAATATTCACAGTGACGGAAGTCAGATTTGGTTCACAGAAGAAACATGAAGGGACTTGGCAGAGAAGAGACCCCTCGTTCAGACAATGTGAGCAATGGGGAGCAGAGTCCCTGCTGGGGAAGGAGAAAGTGAGTTGCTGCAAGCACAGAGGTCGCAGCGAATGGGGAGGCACCAAAGGGTGGCAAGTACTCTGAAGGCTGCCTTTGGCTTTTAAACCTCTCATACGCTTCTGTCTTAGGCAGGTTTCTCCTGAGGCTTCCAAACCCACATCAGATATTGCTAAAACTCCATTGCTGCTGGTGCTGTTGCACCCAAGTTCCAGCTCAGGGAGGGGGCTGATGTCTCCTCACTATAACCTTGTCATTAATTCACACTTAAAAACTATCCCGCTCTACAAGCTGGCGCAATGTTTTTACCAGTCCAGAGGGCCAGAAGAAGATGAGAGCAGACCAGCTGCCTTCTGTGGTTACCTTGAAAGGCTACCAGTGTGACAGACCCACCTCTAGGCTTCACATGCCAGTAGGGGCACAGCAGAGATACAGCAGATTGCAAATTCACTCTGGCAGACAAAACTAGTGTGAAAAACTTCACTGGGCTGACTTGGAACTGGCAAGCTTCCAAGCAGACCCAAGAAAGTTTGTCCTCTTGCCTTCAGTGGAAAGGGCTGAGCACTGGGCATGAATGATTATGGACCCTTATGGACCTAAGCTGCATGTTGATCAAGTGATTTGATTGCTCCCGAAGGAAACAAGGAGTAAACACTATAATCTCCAGAAAGCCAGCATGTGACATCCAGTATGAGGCCCTGGACAGGGAGAAAAAAACTTTAGCTGTGCTGTACATTGTCAGGAATTGTTTTATTTGACTAACGTAGGAGACACTTCCCAGCCAGATGTGCTCAAACTTAGATACACTCCTACACTGTGGGACTGGAGCTGTTTCCTCAGCCTGCAGCTTTTCTGGCTGCCTCAATAGTCTGCTAAACATCTGGAGATGTTGGCATGGCCAAAGGATGTTATAAGCATAAATAAACTCAAAGAGATAGGCACAGTTCCCACCAGCCCCTGTCTTGTTCTTCAAGTTATCATTTGTGCATGTTGTGGATCACAGCATCAGCACAATCCCCAGTGGGATCACACAGTGGGTCTCCTGCTTGAAGAGGTGGGGAATGGACATGGAGCTCCCCACATGATTAATTCAGATTATCTAAATTATTTGCTGTTCAAATTCAAAACTGCCGCAAAACCCAACACACCTGTATCTTCTTTTTGACTTTTTCCAGTAGAGAGAGCTCAGAGTTTTCAATATCTCCTACTTCACCATCCCACTCTGTGTTTCCAGCTGGAAAAGCAGAGACTTTTTACTTTGTTTCTCCATTTGCAATGAACACCTATGTCTCCAGAGTGTGGAATTAAAAGGGAAGGTTGTCTACCAATGAGCTAAACAAGAAAAGGAAAGTTTCCACAGTGTTGACATCTTCCCTTTTATTACACTGGTTTTACAGTCATAAATAAAGTTTACACTCATAAATAAAACATTAAAATTAAGTATTATTACAGTATTGCATAAATACTTTAATAATATTAAATCTATTCTGAAACATACATATGTAGCCATAAAAGTAATATTCATAAGAAATTATGAAAGCAAGAATACATGGCTGATTACTTCTTTGGAACAGATCAGAGCATGAAAAATGTTACAAACTGGCCTCTCAAGAGGACACTTGCAGAATACGATCACAGAATCTGCAGACGTGGAAGACCTGATTATGGGGCATGGTCTCCATCCCCACTGGACTCTCAAAAAGGTCTGTAAAGACCAGAATGTCCTGGTCTCTACATCATGAGAGCATCATCCAAGCTTCCTGATGGCTTCTCATGTGTTCCTTCTGTTCTGTTCAATACTTAGCAATGCCCAGACAGTGATAGGAGTCCTCTCTGGTGGCAGCAAGAAACTTAGCAAGGCTGCAGAAGAAAAGACTGACAGAGACTGGCGTTTCTGGTCTTGTATTGATTCACAAACTGAGCTTGAAAGCATGGTGGTGATGCCTGTTAGCATTCAGTTTGCCAGAAGTGGAGGAAGCCCCTAGGAGGGAAAAAAAAAAAAAAAAGTTAAAAATAAGATACCAAAAGCTTAAGCTGTCTCTTCAGCATGATAGACAATTTGAAAATAAAGCATCAGTTCCAGGAGATCACTCTGATCCTCCTTCAGTGTGTTAAATAATCTCCCTCGAGATACATTTTTCCAGACAACGGGGTAGCACTTCATAATTTACTGTGCCATGTATGCCAGAAATGTCTGTAGAAACACAGATCATTTAGAAACAGAAACATTTAAAAGGTGGCAACTTGCACAGCTGAATGCAGGGGAAGGGGAGTTGGATCTTGTGGAAAGACAGATTTTTGAGGGCATTAGAAAGGCCTCCCCAGAGGTGTCTACAACCACACCACATTTGCAGCATGGCTAACTCCAAGGCTGGATCTGACAGCTCAGAGGAAAAGTTCTCAGTGTCTCCCAGGATGGAGGGAACAGCCTCTCCAGGTTCCAGCACAGCACCATTGTCAGGGGAGACTTTTTCCTTTTATCCTGTTGGAATCTCCCTCATTGCAGCTTGTGTGTGTTACCTTGTTTTCTCTCTGTGCATCGAGGAGAGTTTGGCTATGTCTTTACTGCTTTTATGTAGTGGAAAACTGCAGTTTTGCACTAAGATGCCACTTAGCCACCTTCTCTATAGGTCAAGAGAAGGCCTGTTCACTCAGCCTCTCTCCTGGAAGGGCAAGCGCCCCCATCCCCTGCCCTTTGCAGGGGGACTCCACCAAATCCCCTCTGGTTCCTCAATGTTTTTCTTCTGCCCAGGAGGCCAGGGCTTGATGCATGTGAAAAATGCATATTTTATGATTGGCTTTTCGCAAATGTTACAATGAATATTATGTGTGTAATGTTAGAAAGTTATGCTGTATTAATTATGTTAAGTCATGCGTTAAATATAGTTTTAGGTTACAACATAATATTGAAATAGAAACTCTGTGGTGTAGGATATTTTTTACTAGCTCAAGCAAGAGATGAGATAATCAAGAAACTCTTCACACAGAGATGACAGTGACTTGGGGCCCAGGAAGAGTTACAACCTCCTTATCAGAAAAGATAAATATTCTTCCACCTTCTCTCCGTCTTTATGGAATCACCAGGATTAAGGGGAAGTTGACAAAAACCAGAAAAGTTCTTAATTTGCAAGGAATTTATGCATCATGTATGAGATACATGAATATGCAACAGGCTATTGCTTTTAAGGTTATTCCTTTGTTCACAAGACATGCTTTTCGTGACTTAGTGTCCAAGAGCATCCAGACATCCGTAATTCTTTGCTTTTTATTTTCTTGTAATTGTCCTAACTCTAAATTTTATTACTCTAATTGTATTGCTATTTTTATAACCATTTTATTATTATTATTAAACTTTTAAAATTTTAAAAACCAAGTGATTGGCCTTTTTCACAATGCAACAGTGCGTATTTCTCTGGAGCACTCACTCACCTCATTACACCTCTGCATAATTAGTACAACGGGGCAGGATGTTCAAAAGGGCTGAGCACACAGACATTCCCATTCCTTCTGTGGAGGGCTGGTAGTTAGTCAGAGCTACTGAAGATGGGCCCTGTTCACCTTATTTGAGGGGTGGCTTGTGTTTAGCTGCGACAGCAGAGCAGTTGAGCAAGTGCCTGATTTCCAGAAGGCTTCCCAGCCAGCAGGACTCTGCAGAAATCATCAAGGCTGCCTGGCTGGGACAGGCAATTTGTTATCTGGCTCTTTAAAACCAAGACCTGAAGGGCAGATTCCCCTTGTGCTGCTGTACTGTACGGGGAGCCGTGCTGAGTCAGCACGGCTTGTCAGCACTCAGGAGCACTTCACTGACAGCTCTGCTCAGCTCCTGGCAGGCATCACACCATGCACCTGATCGTGCGTAAGCTGCTAAATTATTTAATCATCTCGGGCATTAGGAGACTCAGAAAGGCTGAAAGCCAAGGGGAAATGTCTCCTGAACCATTGCATTGCATAAAGTACTTTGTTAGATCAGCTGATTGACTGGACGTTACTACTGACTGTGTATATCCTGTCATCTGAATGTCTTACTCAGACAAGAAATGGAAAGGTGAGGTGTTGAGGTACTGAAAGTCCTATGTAATGTTTGGAGTGGATGGAGCTGAAATGGAGTGTAATGTGTACCTTTTCCTCAGCCAGAAATAAATCAAGGCAATCATAGCATCATACAAACAGGTTAGGTTTGTGTCTGTGGCTCTAAGTTCCTGTCTGTACCATTTTGTGTCTGTCACTCTAAGTTCCTGCAAGCGGTTTTGTGCATCCTTTCCTCCACCTCCTGCCATCCCTTCTGCACAGAGGGATCAATTCAAGCAAGAACTGGCTTGCCCCACAAAGGGTGGCTGAGCCCCACAGTTTACCCCAGTCCTGGTCTTCTCTCCTTTTCAGTAGAACACTTCCTCTTTCTGAGTAGGATATCAGGCTGTACAAATAACTTCTGCAGTTGTTCGGATTGCAAGAAAAATGGAAAGCAGATCTTGGTCATATTATACTCTAACGTGTAAACTCTGATCCTGAAGGTAAATCCACCCATCTGGGCTTTTGAACTTGCTCAGAACTTAACTGAAATCCATGGCTCTGCCTTGAGGCAAAAAGAGAATACTTGAATCATAATTACAGAGCTGAAGGAGCTTTTGGGGTCAAATAGCTCCCATAAGCTGCAAGCTAATGAACTGGTAGCTGATTCATGCAAAGGGTTGAAATAATTTCCTTAGTTAAAATCTGAGAGTACTGCTAAATCTCTTCTCTGCGCCTGGCCACAAAGGCACAATGTAGCAGCATAGTTCTCTGGCAATCTCTTGCCTTCTTGGCTCTCTGCTTATGCAGCTTCAAGACCATGCTTATTTTTCCTACTATCATTTCTGCTAACACCATTGCTGGGATCATTCAAATCTCCTTTTCCGTGGATTTTTTGCATTTATTTTTGCTCTAGGTGTTTTCTTCAGGTGTCTACTTACCAAAAATATATGAAAGAGTTCTGTGCAATTAAGAAGGAAGTATACAGTGACGTTCTGGGGACAATAATCATCTTCTCCAGCTTGGTATGCAACAAAATTTCTCCAGCAGTATCTGTAATCTAAGAAGAGAGATACCCAATCACTCTTGATGAAAGGATGCCCAATTCTTTCTTCATTAACATGTCAGTGAGTCATTTGTTTCTCAGTAAGAATACAGTAAAGGACAAAAATACTCATACAAGGGGTACACAAATAACTACACAAATAAGTTAGTGGAAAGGGGAACCAAAACTCTACAGAGTAGCAATATGTCTAAAAATGAATTGCCAAAGAGAGAAATTGATCATTGTGGTGGCTTGGGCAACCTTCATCACAGATAGCATGCTCTGGCATAAAGCCAAGAGAGAAGGAATCAGCAAGTGCCAGGAGTGAAAAGGGAAGTGGGACATGCAGTCAGAGCCGGTCAGGTTCTCCTTTTGGCAGCCTTGTGCTTGAAAACACAGCTTTGGTAAAACAAGTCGCTTCAATCATTAATCTGTCTGACTTATTCCAATGATCAGGGAAAACCTGGAGTGAGCACTCTAACATTTGGCAGTTTCATATTGACCTTAGTGTTGACAGTATGGTCAGAGCTTCTGTCAGTGCTCTGGTGCTATAATCCCAGAGATAGTGCCCCCAGTACAAGTAATGTCCTTTAAGATTACATTTAATCTGGTGGGTTTCATAGCTCCACATTCCAGTGGTAAGTATCCACACAGGTGCTTGAGGTTCATCTCTTCAAATATACATTCCTTACATTCCTTTTTGTGAGCTGCTTCTCTATTTTTACAGCCAAGCATCACCAGGCAAGCAAGATACACACACAAAAAGGCAAGACATGTGCAAGACACATCTTCTGTGATGCATCATCTGAAAGTGTCCTTTAGACAAGTTTCCTTCTCTTCTCCAGCTAGCAAGGGAAACCAGTTACTTGATGCAGCTGGCAAGCTGTTCTACATGTGTATTGTAGGACGGACAGGTTCTGTCTTGCCCAGGATTTTACACTGCATATAATGGAGGTGCAGATAGCTAGAGAAACGTCCAACCCTCCATGTTCAGATTTGGCAAGAGGAAATGACCATGCTGGTCCTGCTGCTGTACAGGACTGGGGAAGAAATAAGGCAGAAGAGAATGACATTTTTGCACTCACTAGTCCTCCCCAAAGCCAGTCATCACCTGTGTTACAAACTAGGAGTGCACACAGAACTTTCAATCCACACTTAGGCAAAGAGTAGCTGGGTTACCTTCAACATTCATGATACGTATAGTGACTCCGTTCATATTCAGGTTGCGGAGACCTTGTCGGTTGCGGATATCGTGGTGCTTGAACAGCTTGGCTGCATATATTACCAAGGTCACATTAGGGTGTGACCTCAGGAAATCCAGAATCCTTCTGGAGCACTTTCCACAGGGACTAGTTGAAAGGAACCAGGTGATGGAGCAAGGGGTTTGTGGCCTGTCATTGAAATGATTTTCCAGGAAGTTGACTTCAGCATGTTGTTCATGGTTGTTCAAGCACCAGTTCCTCCAGATGGAACCTCTTCTCCACCTGATTTCATACAGCAGGTACACCACCCGTCCATGTTGTCTGGGCGAATAATTCCTTTGGAAGTCTCTTGGCTGTATCTTCCACCTGAAGAAGAGTACCAGCAGCACTGTGATCCCAGCACTTCTGTGATCCCAGCACGTCAATGATGCTGGACTCCCACTCCCAGCTTTTCCCATCAGAAATGAGCAGCTTGAAGAATGTTGTGATTTAGCGATCTAAAATTGGAATTTGATGAAAGCTTCAGAACACCCCCAGCACCTCCTTGAGAACTGTTGGGTGAGTAAGCAACCTCATCGCCACTCAGAGATCAGCACCAGTCAAAGCAGTAAGGCAACTGGAAAAGGAAGATTGAGGAAAGGGATAGTAAGAATAAAACAAGGCACAAGGCTGTCTCTGGAAATTGCCAAGTAGCTCAGGCAGCAGTGAGTGACAGAGCTACATCTCTTACCCTTGGGTGTTCTCTCTGGATGAGGGACCTGTGTAGAAAAGATTTGTGAATCACTGACAATAGCAGGTCAGAAAAAAAAAATTTCCTCTCCCCTTTCTGTCCAGACTCCTTTCAGTTCTATACACTCCCTTACAAATCTCTTTTCTCTAAAAGAGGTCAATAAGTAATCACTGCACAGCAGGATAGGCACTCTGGGATGCCGGACATGTGGATTCCTACCTGGAAGTTGAACTTGATGGTTGTTTAAAATATTTTGTACACTAATCCTTGCTCAGTTTAGCACATTATGGTTGATTGTGTGAACACTCAAGTTTAAATTCCCTGATTTCAGCAGTGTTGCATCTGCTTTTCCCTGACTAATCAAAGAGCAGAATCAAATGTCTTATCCCTTTAAAACTTCCAAATCGCTTCTATGAGACAGGCAAAGCTTAAGCCATTTTTTCATTGATACTCATAATCCTGGCAATCTAGACAAAAACATTTCCACAACCAACTTTCCATCTTTACTTAATCTGTAACTTTCTAAAAAACTAAAAAAAAAAATCAGGAAAAAAATACTGGTATAGAAAGGAGGGTAACAAATACCCTCCTTTAGAGGGTAGCAAAACAGACCTGCCTGATTATACACATTTTATCTTCCAGGGTGGCAAGCAACTTTGACCCCATGATTTATTCATCCCTTCCAAGCTGAGGGTCTAGAGGAAAACAATTGCAGGTGATCAAGGCTACCTATTTATTTGAATAAATAAATGGTGGTAAAAATCCACCAATAGGAAACTTAAGGATCTAGGAACCATCATTTTATTTGGTAAATTTTTTTAAGTGTATATAAAATTAAAATAATTAATTTTATTTTTCTTTTTTGTTTTATGAATTATACATAATATGATAAAGATTTCTCTTAAAATTGAGTTAGAATTAAGATACTAAAGGCATTTTTCTTCAGCTTAGGTCTTGCTGATGAGAAATTCTGAATTATACAGAGTAAAATTACATTTTACTATTAAAAAAAAAAGCTTTCCACTTCAACAGAGACAAGATCAACTGCTTGCACAGACTTATTACTCTGATTCTTTAGGAATATTGTAGTTATTTACCACAATGAAAATAAAATAGATGAATACATAAGCTAACTAAATTGCTCCATTCTCTAATGCCTTTGATACCTTTCCTCAATAAAAGTTCTTTTGGATTTTGAATTCTTCTTGCCATACCAAGGTTAACAAAATTATATTAATATTTTGAAGCTGGACCCAAGACTCAAGATACAGTAATGTATTCAAAGATATAAAACACAAATCCACATCTGACTCCTGTGTATCCTCATGCCAACAAAACACATTTGTGTCTACACTCCAGTCCTTTAGATACAACTATAGTAAATATCTTGATTATGGAGAAATAGGCCTGCCTTTCACATACATGTACTTACCTCTGACACTGACAGCAGCCATGGGTATTTCTGGATTTGCTTCTTGCTTCCTGGGAGACTGGTGTGCCTTTATAAGCCTTACCTTAGTTTCAGTTTCTATTCCTGAATCACAATACTGATCTTTGGGCCTTACTAATGCTGCTGATTCGCTGAGTATTTCCTCATGGTGACTTTCTTCACACTTACTTGCACTATCCTGCTGGCTGAAGCTGAAAGCAAGCCCCTGACAGCAAAGAACTGCAAATGGGGGTGATCCCACTCAGAAATGGATCTGGCCTTGAGCACAAGGTTGCCTTCCAGAAGATGGAATTGACAGGTGAGCCACTTCTTGCAGTGCAGACAGAAATTACATTTCTTTTTAAACTCTGGCTCCAGAACAGAAAAGCAAATCTTCTCTAGTCACCCCAATGTGACAAGAGAGAAAAGCACCTACACAAATGGCACCAAGCCACATAGCTGTGGCATGGCATGTCACTTTTCTGACACCCAGATGCCATGAGGAAGTTGAACGGAGCCCAATGGAAAGAGGTAAACAGAAGACATCATGCGCAATACCCGTGAGTCTGTGGAACTCCAGCAGGTGATGGTGGTTACCACCATTTCCCTTCATGGGACTTCTGTGGAGTTCCAAGGACCACTCACACCCCCTTGCACCTGAGTCCTCCTGTAATCAAGGAAGAGACTCAATGTGTGTGACCACTGAGCTGTGGTCAGTGACTGGGCAGCCACTCTCAGGCTGACTCTAAGCAAACTTCCCACCCTGCAGGAGAGTTTGGCAGTGGACACCCTGTTGTGAGGGAACATCCAGGTATTTTTGAAATATCACAATTGAGAAGATCTCTGTACTCATGTGGACAGGAGAGCAAGACCTGAGCTATCTGTGGAGTATCTGCAGAAGCTAATGGTCATTATATCAGTTCAGTGATGCAAATAGAACAGACATTTTCCAGTGCCCTGAGAAATCTGCTCAGCATTATGAACTGGGCATTACTTTACTGTGGTCAGTTCTGTAATTCTCACAAGATGCAGCAAAAGAATATTTCCCATTTAATATGAAAAATTACTGAAACAATGCTGGTTTCTAGTGAGAAGCTTTTCCCTGACACACCCAAAACTGGCTTGCAGAGGAAAGGGGTTACAAAAGAATTCTTCACATGGCTTAGGTAGAATCAGTCTCTGTCACTGTTTTTTCTGGTTTTGTGACACAATTATTTTTGGCCTGATGCATGATGTAGAGATTGCCTTCCTTGGTGCCAAGCCGGATGTGGGATTTTAAATCTAAGGGAGTGATTTATTTGTATTCTCTGCAGCAAGCTTTCAAGTATTCTATTGTCAAAAAGTATTCCGTTTTCTGCCAGGGCAGAAAAAAAACCAGAAGTGTATATGAATGGTGAAGTTCACAGGGAGTAGGGATTCAAGCAGGACTCTCTGTCAAGGAGAGCACTGGTTGTGGCAGGTCATCAGGCAGTGCCAACACAGAGTCTGCCCTCGGGGCCTCTTCTGCTGCAAGGTCACTCCTCACTTTTCAGCACAGAATTGTTCCCTGGTGGTTGCATTGTTTCATACTATAGGAGAGTGAAGGGGAGCAACTCAAACAATCAAGAGATTGTTGAAATAAAATCAGGATTGGCTAATATGGTTTTGAGTTCGTGGGTGTGATTCTCAGTGAGAGGAGGAATGCTTTGGTGCTGTAGCACTCCCTTCACTGCCCTGCCCTTACAGTACATATTTATAAATAAGCAGGTGTGAATTAGGCTTAGAGATTATTAGTCTGATCTGCAAGGAACATCTTCATTAGCAGCAGTAGTTCCTGACAGAAAACCAGCAACGTGCCACAGAAAGTGGAGAAAGAAAAATGTCCAAGCAATGAATCAAGGAATCAGCAATGCAACATTTTCAGGTGTCTCCAGGAAGCTGAATGTGCTGTATGAGATGGTGGAAAGCCAAAATGGAAAAAAAAAAAAAAAAAAAAAAAAAAATCTGAAATATTGCTCTGTTAACCTAATGTGAGAAGATAAATACCTTCCAAATTCAGTAGTTGCTTTAACCCTAATAAAATCAGGAAGTCAAGTGAATTTTCATACTTCTAGAAGAACTTGCACATTCTGTTTGTGGGGGCCAGGCTTCAGTGAGTCAAGAGGAGGATGATGACCTTCAGAAAGATCATACAACTAGGTGGGAAACTTGTTCTTCAGTTTTTATGAGCAACCAGCAGTAATCCAGTATCCCTTTAAATTGTTACATGCCTGTAGCAAGGGTTATCTATATAGGTGGAGTCTTGTATTACTCAAACAACTGTGGTAAAAATTTTTATTCTACTTCTCATGCAGTTAATTATGTCCCCTTACAGAAGCTGCTTATGGTAATGTAAGAAATAAATGTGGAAGTGGTTTGTGATGTTGAGCTGTTGGCAACATCTGAATATATCTCAACCACTCCAGCAAAAGGATTTTTTTTTTAATAACCACCACCCTCATATGTATGCCTCATGAACCTGAATGCATTTTGGAGGGACATACACAGCAAAGGGTATGTAGAATGGTGTAGAGACAATTACTCATGCCTCTTTTAAGCACCAGGTTCCTTAAACCCTCATGAGAATATTCCCTTTGGTGGTAGTAGAGATGTGCTGTGTACATATGACCAGATTCACCAGGGAAAATAATCTAAAAGCATCACAATTTCTTCAGAACATTTTACAAAGGGCCTTCAGGATGCACACTGAGTGACAGAGAGGTGGACAGAGCATCAGGGAGCTGGGTCCCTTCAGATGTCTCCCAGGAAAGAGACTGCAGCAAAACAGGTCTGCAGCATGGCTATTACAGAGGTGTTGTCTGCTGATGTACCACTCCCTTTTCTCAAGCATCTTTTAGCTTATCTGACACTCAAAACCCAAGGCAGGCATCTGGTAACAAATGGGGACTGAGACAGTGTTCTAGAAATGGAAATATGTGGATGAAATTAGCTAAGATGGACAGGTTAAAGGAGAAAGAGAAGCACAGAAGAAAAATTAAATCAGACATCAAAGAAGATAAAAAGGGACAAGGTTTGAATCAGCTAAGATCCTAGTCAGCAGATCTCTGAAGATTTTATAGGTACTGAGCTTTTTATTCTCTGGCTGGATACTCTATTGGAAAGAGGTGAGAATCACCAAGTGGAAGTTTGGAAGCAGAGAGAAAGGTTAAATTTAGATGTGACAAAAGCCTGGGGTTTATGCTACAGAGGCTTAAGTCTCAGCCTCCACTAACAGGCTGCCTCCTGGACTTAATTTGAAATGGTAAATCCTGTGTTAGTTCAAGTGTTCCACTGCTGACACATTTGACAGTAAAAGGAAAATCCACTGTGTGTTTACTTGGATTTAATGGAGTTTTCTCAGTAGGTAGCTATATTTTTTTCTGGAAAGAAAAATCACACAGAGCCTTTTGAGATTTATTCTGTGACCTCCATATTTTAAAAAGGCCAAAATGTGTTTAAGTATGAACCTTTACGTATGAAGTCACACTCATGAAGATGTTTATGGATATGTGTATGCACAATAATGCAATAATGCATATAAAAACAAGCTTGTAGATACACAAATACTCCTCCTTGTTAGCATATTACTTTGCAACTCTGATAAGCACACCCACCCATGACTCTTTTATCTCTCCCAATACCTTTGCTTTCATTTTCTCTGCAGTCTGCACAGCATCACCATGCTTTACCGAGACTTGCTCAGCCTCTGTATGTGGAAACCGAAACACAAGAGATTAAGATAACTGGTGGCACCCTGCCACTACTGGGTGAGTTTTACAAGGCTGACTCTGAGGAGTGAAGTGGAATGGCAGCCAGCCACAAGGATGTGCAGGCAGGGCTCTGATCCAGGCAAAGTGAAAAATAATTGGCTAGGGAGAAGGATTTATCTGCATGCTTACTTCAGTAGCAAAACATCCTGATATCCTTGTAATATAATTCTTTCACATTAACTGGTGAGGTTGTAGAAATCAAAGAATTTCCCAGCTCATTAAAGACACTTCATGAGGAGTCAGTGTGGAAAGAAAAAGCTGCAAGTGAATGTATCTGTATTTTGGAATGTTTATCTACTCTAAGCAGTCCTTCTACAGTCTTCTCACACTACTTTGAGTCACAGAAGTTCTATATATTTATCTTTCTGATTTTGCTTCATTTCTGTGTCTTTGTTTCAATGTACACACTTTGTCAAAGCACGAAGCAGAACAATAAGTACCCCAAACCCTGTGGGGATTAGTGTCCATGTCCCGCTTGAGAGCCTGAGTCAGTCATCACACACCTGCAGAGCTTTAAATATGAGAGGGACCACATAACTGGGTGGACTTCACTTGAGAGAAAGCAATGGTTTTCTATAGGTTGTACAAAGGAGAGTGTTCAGAGAAGCTCTGGGAACCTGCAGCTCTGAGATTTTCTTTTCCAGGTACTCAGGGATTGCTATGACAACAATATATTGTTAAACTCTCTCCAAAATTCACCTGGAAAATGTAGTTGTCATGGGAGACAAAACCTCCATCAAAAGCAGAAAACATCTACCAGGACCAGGCATTACAACCATTAGGCACCATCAAGGATGGAGTTAATTTTCTTCATTGCAGTCCATACTAAACATACAGTTCCTGGGCCATCTGTGGGTGTGTGTCAGTGGAAACACAAGTGAGGGCAGTCAAGATAACCAATTTTTTTTTTCTCTTTAGTCCTCAGGGCCACAAGAGGCACAGACCATAAGAATTCTTTTGTTTCTTTTCTTATTTTTTAATTGTGAAAACAATCTGGGGTTCTTCCTTGCTCATGACCTTGAAATGTCACAAGCTTGCTTTGGACAAAAGCTGGTTGTGATGCAAACTGGCTCAGCATGGCAAGACAAGATCAACAGGACAGTGTAAACACAAGGAAAATGAATCTTGGCACAGAGAGGGCATCAACAGCCACCCCCAAAGCTGCTGGGGAGGTTTTACTGTGATATCCTTTGTTTGGCAGCCTGTGCCAACAACTAGTTAGATTGCAGACTGAAAAGGAAACACTTGGTACAGATTATAAATTTTGTTCAGCAGTTTCACATCATCTGTGTTTCTTTCCCACCCCCAACAACTTTTGTGATCTGCCTCTTTAAAAACACCTTAAAAGCACAAGGGGTCTCCATCTTGTGGCCTAGTTCTAGGATGGACTTGCAAATAAAAATAATTACTTACTTCTTTTAACCATCTGAGAATAGATGCTGAAATACAATGATCATGGGTACTGTAATTATCATTCCACCGTCACACGTCTTGGTGAATGGGGGATTTGCTTCTGTGCAACAGAGCATCTGTGGACTTTTGAAGCTGAGTTTTAAACAAGTGCTGCTGTTGGTTACATGTTAGAGCTCCCACTGAAACAGTGGAAAATCCTCTTTCTAGGCTAGCACAGTCTTTCTAATGCAGACTAGTGTTTCAGCAAGAACTGACACTTACTGTGATTCGTTGATCAGTTTAAAACAGAGACAAGATTCTGGAATTTTCGGTTCCAGTAAACTGTGGATGCACATGGCAGGACAGGGTGAAACTAGTCCATATATGGACACTAAAGGTGAGATGCAGGGCTCCCAAATGCAGTCATTGTGGGTATTGAGGCAGTGGGACAGATAATGACAAACCACAGCTGGCCAGGATTGTCTGCTCTCTGTAGAAAACAACCCCTGTCACTGCTAGATACAGTACCTGGACTGTGGTTTCTGTCCTGATGAGGCCTTTTGTGCGGTTTTAAGTTCACTTCTGCTCATCTTAAATCGTGAGGTAGGAAACAAGGCTATCTGAGAAGCCAGCAAGTCTCCAGAGATGCTCCTTTTGGCATCCTGCCCATCTCTTGCCAGATGATGGGCCCTGGGAGCCCAGGACCCCAGTGTTGGCAGGGATGACAAACCCTGAGTCAATTAGAGCTGGTTCAAGAGCAGCTGCCCGAAATGGGTGTGCACAAATCTGTGGGGCCTGACAGGGTTCATCCCAAGGCTCTGCAGGAGCTGACCAACATCATTGTAGAACCTTGCATTGTTTTGCAATGGTCTTGGGAGTCTGGATAGGTTCCAGGTGAAGTGGAAGATGAGTGTTGTTCCAACGTTTCAAGAATGGTAAGAAGGAAGACCCTGGTAATTACAGGCCTGCTGGTCTGACTTCAGTGCCCAGTAAAGTTATGTGGGTTATTCTGAGAGACAATTATCAGGTCCTGAGAGGCATGTCCTGGACTACCAACTCTGAGGTAGCCAACATTTGGAATAGCCTTGGGCTAAATTAAGACAAAACACCTCCAAGTAACAACTAGAAAGTTTTATTTATAGGCTGCAGCAATTACAACCATATTATCAGTTCAACAGCCTGTAGCAGCAACAATTTAAAGGTTTCTGAACAGCCTGCAGATTAAACCTTTCTGAACAACATGTGGCAACAGTGATCTCTGGGCAGCCTGTGGCAGTAGTGAGATAAAATTTTAAGCAGAGGGAGAAAGGAAGAAGGAAAGATAGAAAAACAGAGGTAGCACAAAACAGACCTAGCCTTGTCCAGATTCTAAATACAGAAAGATGAATACATGTTTCACCAAAGAAAGGATACATGTGCCGTATTGCTAACAGCACTTTGTTAGTGGGGCTCAAGGCCCATTGTTCAGGTCTCAGTACTTCACCTTCAGGATAAAATGTCCAGCACACAGCAAGATAAGGCCATGGGGCTCTGGGGGAGCAGCTGGCTGATGGCTCAAAAAGTTACAGTAAATGACTATACATCAGACTAGTGACTGCCACCACTAAGGTTTTTTGGGGCTCATTTTTACAGCCAGGGATCTTAAACGTTCTTATAAATCATCTCTGTGGGAGAATCAAATGTAGGAACCAAAACTAAGTAATCTTGCCAATGATATTAAATGATATTAAACTAGGAGGATCTTTGGATTCCCTTGAGGGTAAAGAGGCCCTGCAGAGAGATCTGGATACTGAAGAGCTGAGCAGTCACCAATTGTATGAAATATTACAAGAGCAAGTGCTGGATTCTCCTTGGGACCAGGTAATCCTGCAATTTATGTAATCCTGAAACCACTGCTCAGTGATAGGACTGGTGTAAATGGAATGAAGCTGCATTAGTGGATGTTCAGCCTGGACATTAGGAAAAGTTTCTTCACTCTGATGTCAGAAACAAAGCCCAGTCCTCTAAAATTTTTAAGTTTTAATAAATGATAATGGGAAATAATCATAAAGCAAAACTTATAGCATACACTGGGTTCATGGCCACAGCCAGGCATACACACCTCTTCTATCTGCAGTCTTTTATAATGTTACAGTTGTATTACTTATTCAGATGATTTTGCAGATTTATTTTGGGCTGGTTGACTACAATCTTGCTTCAGATTTTTGCAGCATTTGCACAATTCAATAGTTGCAGACATGGGCAGTGTAGGGTGGTCTTCTGATGCCATTTTAAGCTTGGTACTCTTCCTTTATGGTTTTCTGCTCTTCACTTATGCTATCTTGGCTATACATTTTGCAATAATAATCATATCTTAAAATACACCTTTCACAAGCCCACTTACATCTGGTAAAAGCCTTATTTCCCCTTTTACATTGCCCACAAGCAATTACAAATTTTACCACACTTAAAAGCAATTTGAGACTTACACTAATTATCTAAAAACAATTACTATTTTGTAATTCAAAAAAACAAATTATAGTGAAAGTCAACTACTACGTAACTGTTTATAACATGGATGATGATTTTAGTCATGTTTAGTTTTAGGTAGTCATGCGAGGAGAAGAACTTAATGATCTTTTGGATCCCTTTCAACTTGAGATATTCTGTGATTCTTTGATTCTACAAATGAAGACCCTGAAATGGAAATAGAAGTATGACATTTAGATCCTCCAATTGCACTTTAAACCTGCTGTGATTTGAAACATAGCAGATGCAGTCTGTTAGTTGTCATGGGACAAGTAGTAGCCCAAGATGTTACTTTTCCACATATGCCATACAAAATGGATTTCCCAAAAAAACAATGACCCACATAGCTGTAGATTTCTTTCACTCTCGTTCACTAAAAATAGAATTTGTGAGAAAATTCTAATAAATTGAAATCAAAATGCTGAAGCGCTTATATTAGTTTTGCTAGAATTTTTTAAAATACAGTCCTTCCCAGCCAAGGAGGTGGACATATTCATCCAAGCCAAGTGTCTATTCTCCAGGGCCACAAACTTTCAGCAGTGTTGTTGAACACACCTTTCTCTCTCCTGCCTTTCAGGAGGTCTGGCACAAAACAAAAGCAAAGCCTGAATTTTCCCAGGGCACAGACATTCTGTTTTGAACAGCTTTTCTCATCTCTATACCCTTCTATATACTATACCCTTCCAACCAGCCACAGAAGTTACTGAATGGAATTTGGAAGGGTCTTTAAAGAAGTATGCAGGAGCCCAATAACTGGGTGTCAGGTATGTCAGACCACTGCAGACATTGAGAGAAAGGGGCTGAGTAGCACCATTTAGCAAACTGAAACCCATGCTCAGATCCAGGTTAAAAAGGAATCTGGTGGAGGGCTTCTGAGATGAGACTGGAGTTCCAGGTAAAAATCAAGGAATTTCCCACCCTGGAACACAAAGGAGAAAAACTACACTCATAGCTTTTCCTTCGTAGTATTGATGTCTTTTTCAACCTAAAAATGAAACCTGAGGTAATTTTAGTGTAGGAGGTAATATAAAAATGCATTTTTATTTGGAGGCCTCTAGGGGCATTTATGGAAAATGTCCACAAAACTCCCCCCACACGAGGTGAATATCGTTTTGATTTGTTTTAGGAAATTAGCATAATTGATTAAAAGCTTTAATGAGGAGGACAAGTGATAATGCAACTCCTCCCCCCCCGCACCCCCCCCCCCCCCCCCCCCCCCCAGGTCAAGTTCCTTCTCTGGAGCCCTCCCCTGGTAGTAGCTGTGTTTGTTTATGAAAATGTATCTCAAAGACCTTGTTGTCAACCTTGGTTCCCAGGAAGGACCAAGATAGGCTACAGGCCTTGTACCCCTGGGGCTTGGAGATCTGGAATTTGTTTTGTCTTCCTGCCTAGGGAAAGGGCATAGAAAAGTACTGAGAAAACTAGCTAGAATACAATAATAGGCTGCAGAGTTCCAAATATATAGGCAAAGAATACAGAGAACATTTAAAAGAAAAGAAGGCAAAAACCAAGATGGCATCAATATAATGGAAAAATATCCACAGTGCTTCTGTCCCAGTGGGACAGGACAGTTCCCATGATTTTTAGTGCATTACTTTTCTCAAAAGCCTACTGCAGTACTCTTTAAAGTCCAGCTAGAGCTACATGTGAACAAGGGTTTCTTTTCTGCTCTTTACAGCTCAGTTGCCCCAGACTGCAAATCATTTCATGTGATGCCCTCTATCTCTCAGAGTGTACCTGAAGGATATCGTCCAGCTGTGAGCAATTCCTCTTTATCGCTGATTCAAAGTTCTCAGGTGAGAAACGATAGTAGACACCAGGTTGTATAAAGGTCTCCCAACAGTAATTATAGTCTGGAGAAATAAAAGCAAGATAATTAACCTGAGTTTATTCAGATACCAGAGAAGCTCAGGGAACAAGATTTCTTAAGCTCTTCCTTGTGTCATATCACAGAGACAGCTTGGCCATGGTCAGCTGATGGATGCTGTCTACTCCGTATTTGGAACCAATTCACTCTGGGCAATTTTTTTCCCTCCCTTAACTGCAGAGGAGCCATTCAGCCAGCTTTATCCCAGCAACTACATTTAGGACAAGGGAGAAGGACCATATGCCCCATTCACTCAGGAGTGATGTAAGGATGGTATCTCTAAACAAAGGAGAATTTTCATACAGATCTGGATGCTGATCCCTCTTCTCCTGCACTACTTAAACATCTCTTTTTTGAGATGTGACTCTCATTCACTGCATGGTGATGGCTGCGCCCCCAAAGAAGCTGAGTAGACACAGGGCACCATAGAAGCAAGCCCATACCCAATTCACCCATGCACAGGGTTCACCAGCTCACCCCTCCCCAGTCCCACAAAGCATGGGAAACCTTACCTTCAGCATCCATGATTTCAAGGGTTACTCCTGGCGAGCTGGCAAGCTCCCTCAGGCCTTTGCGGTTGCTTGCACGGTCTGTGTAGTAGAGCCGTGCTACGCGTATGTTTATGTTCACATTGGGCTGCTCCTCCAGGAAATCCTGTATTATATCGCAGCACTCCCCACAGGGGCTCCAGGACAGGTACCAGGTCATGTCACAGATATTGTAGCTTCTTGGCTCAAAGATTTCCTCCAGGAAGTACTTTTCCGCATGGCAATCTTTACTATCATCATTTCTGAGCCAGTGTTGCCAAAACTTGTGACTCCCACGCCACTGCAGCTCGCAGAGTAGGTATGTCTCGCGTGGATAATTGTGGGGATCAAAGTGTTTTCTTAATGCCCTCTTAGATATATACATGCTGAAACAGAAGAGAAAATTCAAGGAATTACTGGTTACAACTTTGTTTTCGGTAGTACTCCAGTAAAAAGGGGGAAGGTGGAGGAAATCAGAGGAGAACTGAGAAGGGCAAAGCACGAGACAGCAACAAAAGGAAAACCAGGCACCAGGCAGGGTCAAGGAACTAAAGGAACCAAACACTGAACTGTTAATCCTCCCCTCATCTACAGCTGCATGCAAAACTTTACCGCCTCCCCCCTCCCTATGCCTGTCCTCTTCCCCATCAGTGGGAGTATCTCTAAAAGCTCTCTATATTTTTTGTGTGTCAGACATTTTTACAAAGCTCTTTTCAATGTAGGGAGCTGTTGTGAATTTTGTAAAAACTAATACAAAAAAATAAAAGAAGAAAATAAATGCACTGATACACTATGAAGCGGAATATTTTTCCTTACTGGATTCTCTTGCTGTTTGTACTTTCATAATGATTAGAACAGTCAGTACCATCCTACATGAGAGAAGAGAAAAGAAGTGCTTTATGCAAAAGATGCCACTCCCAAGATGGAAATTTTCTGACTTCAGAAAGGACCTCTAAATATTGTCAGTTAAGGAACTCTACAAAGACCGACAGTATTACTTTTATACTCACTAATTATCCATTATACATAAATAATGAAGTCTTCAGAGGCACTATGTAGCCTTTGTACAATTGCCTAATATAGAGATTTATATGAGAATGCACTTCAGATATATGTTTTTCCACATTAGAATAATACACAGTAAATCTAGTAGACAACTGATCAGATTCTGAAGAGAGAAGCCATAAGCCTTTAAATTGTATAGACTAGTAATTATTAGTAACAAAAACCAATAAACAAACAAAAACCAAATCAAACCAACAAACAAAAAGCACAACAAAAAAGTCGCAAACCCCCCTAGTCCCTCTGAACTAGGGACGAATGAAATGTTGCAGAAAAAGTAACTGTCACATATTCTTTATCTGCAGGACTTATCACCTCATTTATCTGAGTAAGTCAGAAGGCTTTGTCTTCTTACCCTGTCTTCTTCCTCATCCCAGCCTCCTTCACATTAAAATACTTATGCACACATACCAGTTTATAAATCACGTGGTGTGTCTCTCTTTATCTTCTCCATGTAAACTCCATTTATATCAACCAAAGAAACCACACATGCAGATTTATTTATCACACTTTCTACTGAATTTATGTAAATGTAATAATAAATGTAAATGTCACCAAATGTTTAATTATGGCACAGGAATTACTATTTTATTATTATGCATAATTCCTTTAGTAGGTTGTTTAAGAAAACACTAAGACAAAATTGAAGCACAGACTCTAAGCTTATGCTTTCTCATTTGAGGTGTTAAAAGAGATGCCCTTTTTCTATTTGTATTATGTTATTTGGAAGTTAATATCCATTAGCTTAAATTTCTGTAAAACTCAATTTTAGGGAACATATATATATATAATATAACTATATCATATTTTCACAATAAATATATAAAATATGTGACTAGTTGAAGTTCACCAAAGAAAATTCATTAAACTCCCAATATTCAACCAAGTCAGTTAATCTAATTTTTACAGAAGATACCTTTAAAGTTTTGGAAAGCAATGTGACAAGAGATTACAGAGATCTGATTCGTTCAAAGGTTCCCATCAGACTATAACACACAAGTTCTTAAGCACCCTCTTCCCTATGTTTTGGCCATAAAATATTGCACTCTGGACAAGCTATTGCAACGGGTGTCCTGTGTTCAGGGACATAAAGCTATTTCTTTAGAACAATCTTGAAATACACTAATCTTCAAGATTACAGACACTTTAGGGATGTGTTGAGACAAGTGAAATTTACGGTGTAATCAACTTAGTAAAACATTAGGAAAAGTCTGTATTTTTATTAATAATAGCTACAGCTGTTACTTGCTATTCTTAAATAGTAGATTAATGAAAATTTAAACAACACTACCAGAAGGAAAATGAGAAATTTTAAAACCATTATAACACATTCACATACTATAGAATATATACGGAAAGGCAGCATTCATTTTTCTCCCCAAGTCAGACAAGAGAATACTTAAATTGTGAGCTTACAGATACATTGCCAAAATTTATGCAGTCACCTCAGCTCTTTTTAAATTTTTTTTTGTAGTTATCACCAAGTGTCCTTCCTATTCAGCGCTGTTATGCATGGTAGGCACATAGAGCCTAACTCAAAAAAAATCGATCACATAACAGCTATTGATACAAATATGAGACAAAATTCATACTCAGCAAATAATTAAAGATATAAAGAAGAAAACATTATTCTTTTTCTTTCTAAATCAGGTTTCTCAGTCTCATAGAGGTGAATTTGTAATCCTTTCAGAATCTGAGAGCTGCAGAGAAACGCACTGTAAAGTATGACTAATAATTCGAAAGGTGGATTGTACCCCAGAATGTTTAGGGGAATTAGGGCAGAAAACGGCAGAGGGATGACAGCCAACGGAGCTATCTCCTAGACTTTATTTTCTTTTTTATTAATATGCATCTGCTACGTGCATTAAATGTGCATTAAGCCTTGAAGATGACCTAATTGACCGATTACAAAATACATTTTAAAATGTGTTATTTATGCATTTCCTATTGTATGGTCCCACCATCCGTAACTTGAACAGGAACGCAATGAGATTATTTTAAAATGTACTAATTTTCACAAAAACCAGCTCCTAATACGAATATCTCTTTTACTAAAACTGCGTAATAAACTGCACCATCATAGCTATTTAATAATTTTCCTTCCTTCCTCTAACACTTTTTATTAGAAACTATTTAAAACTCTGCTCATTGCAAGATAACAATAGTAACAATGATAATGTCTAAAAATACATGAGCATAAATTTGTCAAAACTCCTTTAACCCACATTTTTTTTGTCCCTCGCTAATGCTCTGCAGAACCGAAGCGCTTCTTTACTAAACTTTGCATTAAAGCTTCCCCCTCCCTGGAACAGAAAATTATCTGAGACACTTTATTTTGGGTGATACCAGCTGTTTCTGTTATATATAAGGAAGAGGCATTTTCGGTTTCTGCTGCAGCCCAGCGTCGAGCGCGCCGGGTCCCGCCTCAGCCCTTCCCCAGCGTCCCCATCCTCCCTGCGCTTTTGTCAGTACCTGTTGAGACTCAGTTGGTCTATGGCTCCCGGGACAGCTTCTAAACCAGCGGGAACTTCCCCGCCAGGCTCAGACCCCCGTGCAGCGCCTCGTCCACTGCGGCTGCCCTGGGGACAAAGTCCCGTCCCGCTGGGTGCGCTGCCAGCAGCGCTGCCCTCGCCCTCCCCCGGGGCCGCAAAGCGAGCGACGCCCTCGGGTCCAAGCAGCAGCAACAACTCCGAGCTGAAGCTGAACTGCTTTTTTTTTTTGCTTTTTTTTTCTTTGTCAGCTATTTCTTTTACCCTCTCATCTTTCTCCTGTACATGGCTTCTCCTTGCCCGGTGGACTCCGCTGGCGCTGTCCTCCTCTCTGTCCCTGCTGCAGAAGCGCGCCCAAACACAAAGCGCACCCCTGAGGCTCCGCTGGCACAGGATGATGAAAGAGGAAACAGGAGAACTTTGCCTGACCACAGCTGGTGCCTCTTAATGACGTATCCAAACATGCCTGCCCCCAGCAGTGTTCTCTCCTCCTTTCCTCACACCTTATCTGAGCTGCAGTGGGGCCTGATGAGTCTCCAGTTTAAAAACATAATAACTGAACCGTCTCTTTGAAGCCTGCTTCTAAGTTTTGAACTGATGATGACGCTTCCTTGGCAGAAAAATGTGATTTGCTCTTCTGTGTAGGACACCCCTCTCAGGGTCGCAGCTGCTCTGACCTTCCCTGAAACACCTGAAGCTCAGCTCAGTGCAAAGCATGGCGGTTCTGCCTCGTGTGTTGCCAGATCTTTCCATGCTGTCACACCTTTGTCAAAGATGAAGTGCTGTTAGAAATGAGATGCTTGACTCAGCCAATATAGCAAGCAGCAATTCAATTTATTAATTCATATGGTAACGTATGCACAAAGACAGTGCTGGGTACAGTGGTGGGGATTTCCCCCTACGACTGCGTCCTGATTGTTGGGCTTGCTGGTATTTATTGATCATGTTCATTCATATTCATAAGCTTTTCCCAGTTTCTACATGGGCTTTCAGCAGTTTCCATTTCTACCTTTTAGCGTCACAATTCTATACTTTAGGATAGTAAATCTGTGATGGTTCCTTTCCAATTTCCATACTCTATTGTGTACATCCCAGGATGTGTGTCCAGATAGTGGGGTCCAGCTTCTATTTTCTAGGATCATTAATCTATGGTAGTGATGTCCAGCTTCCCCTTTTGAAACCATTAATCAGCAACCTTGATGTTCATCTTTTTTCTCCAGGAGCTTGGAATAGGGTGACTTCCCTTTCTGTTTAAATTCTTTATACATTCTAAAGCTACAGTTTAAAATCCTTAGTACTAAGCAACATTCTAAAGTTATAATTCAAAAGTTCTTATCGCAGAACAGCTTAAGACTTATAATTGTTATTTGCAACCAAAAGATTGGTTCAAAATCCTTCTTCCATGCTTTCCTCAGTTGTTTATTAGAACTCATCTTTATAACTGTCCCATGGCCGTGTTTCACATGTAATATATGTTATGGAATAATTCGTGCTTATGTTAAACATATATATGTAATAAATGGCGCTTGTACGAAAAATCCTTAAAAGTTTTAAACCACAAGCTGCAGCTGAGGAAAGTTTGGGAAACCACAGATGGCAGCAAACAGAAAGACCTCATTTACAAGTGAAAATGTGTGGCTCTGTGTGGAGATGGGCCCTTTCCTGCACCATCTAGGAGACGCCCAGTGATGAATGCCTGGGAGATATCTGCGGATCAAGATAGGCAGAGTCGTCAGGAACATGGTCAGGAACATGCATTCCAATACCAGGTTCCCTTAACTAAACATCAGCATTCATTACTTCCCAGAAAAGGCCTTGTCCAGCACAGCACAGAGAAAAGGAAACCCCATGAATATGTGAAGCAACAAGAAGAATAGGAGAACCTCTGCCCCAGGTGAAAACAAATGTATAAAAACTGACGGGACAGAGGCAGCATCCGTGAACAGAGGAGATCCGATGCTGTAGAGATCGGATCAATGTTCACCCAGCCGATCTCAGGCTCGGCACTGTCCTTTTGCTTGTGGCTATCTAAGACCGAGGGGGCGGTGAGGGGAACCAGGGGTGCAAGGTATTCCCAGAGCAGCAAGTCGAGGGAGGCCCGAAAGTCACTCACACAGTCCTCATAGCGGTATGGTAAGTGCTTCATTATTTCCCATTTCTTGGGTATAGTTATTGGCATTCAGCAAGTCGGCATGTGAGCACGCACCCCAGCATCACTTAGATTGGTCATAGCTCCTTGTCCACACTCCTCTTTCTGCCTTGCAATTGTTTGGCAGCCGCATGATTGCTCCTGCTGTGGTTAAGCATATCATCCTAACTTCCCCTTTTGGGACTGCTCCATAGCTACTTCCCATTATCCAAGGGTGCTGTGACCTCTACTCTGCGTATACTGGATTGTCTCTCAGAAGGTCTGTGATTACTGCTGAATTATCTCTCAGGAGGTCCAAGACCACCCCGTGGCCTCCTGCCTCCAGAAATTCCTCTACCGCGGAATAAAAATCTATTTATTAATTATTAATTCGGCTTGATCATTTTTACCTGTAACACACACATTTCACAAATACAACTACACGGGTTGCCTTTATTTACCTGACACAAAACACAACTTTGTATTTCACAGTGCTCAAAAATACCACTCATGAGAGACTTCACTCACAAAGTGTCAGCAAAGCTTCATCACCTTCCCTACCAAATCCAGCAGGGTTTCTCTTCTGGTCTTGAACAATGCTGCCTGAACACAGGATGCCCAGCATCTGAAGGGGTCTCAGATTTACTTGTTGTCTATACTCCTCTTTCTATTCTATTCTATTCTATTCTATTCTATTCTATTCTATTCTATTCTATTCTAGTCTAGTCTAGTCTAGTCTAGTCTAGTCTAGTCTAGTCTAGTCTAGTCTAGTCTGTTTAAACAGCTGTTCTTTAACTCATGTCTGGTCAGGCTTTTCTTACAGAGAACCAGGATGTACCTTGCACCATCTCTCTTGCACATAAGTGATCCTGGCCAGGCCACTAAGATGCACTCAATTTGGAATTGAACTTTAATTTGATACTTGTGGGTCCTCTTCAATATTCAGAATATTCTATGATGCTGATGCTTAATAAGGTGCAAAGGGGCAAAAATCCATTAATCCTGAGATTTGTTTTAAAAACTCCCATTGCCTTTCCTTATGGTCTTTTTGAGTGGTGTTATAGGAATTTTCTGTGGAAATATTTGGGAAAGATAGTAGCTCCCAAGTCCCACACAGTTCCTGCTGTTCACCTAACCACTATGCTGGAAGAACACAGTGCATCTCACCAACAGTGCCAGCCCCCTTTCAAAAACAATTCCAAGGCGAATCTCACAATCCGAGGAGGACACCAAGGAGTAGCTGCAGTTGCCAGCCACTCAGCAGCATTCTGCTTGCACATTAACTGCACTGTGGGTGCAGGGAGCTCAGCTGGCTCCATGCAGAGTCTGGCTGGGTTCCTCAGCTGGGGCGCAGCGCTGCCTGTTCAGGTCTGGAAACATTACAAACACTTTCATGGGACACCAAGCCTAATCTAAGAAGGACTAGATGTGCCTGGAGAGTGCTGCAGAGGCTCTGCAGGTGTGTTCCCCAGACGAGAAGCTCAGGGGAGCAGGTGGCAGCAGGACCCAAGTGACTCCTCACAGACCATGAAGGAACCAGCTCTGCATCAAGGTGAGCGATGGCACACTCTGCGTGCCACCAGCACTCCAGGAGAGCAGGTTACCTCAGACTCAACACTGCCTGGATGCACAGAGCCAGCCTTGGACTACAACAGCTACAGAGCTATTTGTCCCTCCAGGAACTCGCTTTGGGGTTTTTCCCATTACCTGGGAGATCCCTAAATGGCATGAGTTGATAGTATGAGGATTTCAGCTTCCATATCTTTTTTTATGGAATACCTGAAGAAAATTGCTGAGCCCTGTCTCTTCTGAGGGACAAGGAGCTCCAGTGATTACAGGACTGATGCTGAAGCTAGAGCCAGATGTTGACACCAGCTTGTTTTACGCTCTTGGCTTGAGTGCTGGCTGCCTCAGAAGGCACCTGTCTCCGGTTGGGAAGGACAAAAGGAGCACTATGGGCTGCTGGCTAAGCAAGGTATGCCACCCTCACCTATTGGAAATCTTGTGTGGCTTGGAAGAGGAAGTAAAGGCACGCACAGCCAGTGTCTTCATTTTGACATGTCTGTAAATGTATTGTAAGTATCTGTGGCAACAGTGCAACCTTCTGGAAAGCTGGAAAGGATCATAAATATTACCAGATAAGGTCTGCTAGGAATGCACATCTATCATAAAAAGCAGAACACAAATGGAAGTTCATGGTGGAAATTAATGAATTTCAAGTTTGTGATAAACTCACTTAGCTTGGAATGAAAAAACTTGTATTAATAAGGAATGGGCATCTTTGCAGCTTGCAGATTGAGGTGTCTTACACATTTAAAATAAGGTGGTGACACTCAGCCTGAATGGGCTCAGCAGAGATTTGATGGGAAATCTTCCTGCAGGATAATGTGCAAAATGAGTTTTTTTACATGATCCATTTGTTCCAGTGACTCTGCTCTGACAGCAGTAGACATGAAGTCTATGACATGGGATGAAGTCAAGACATGGAATAAGTACTTTCCTAAATTGTAAAAGCTCTGTTACCTATAATGTGCCTGTCAACAGCTTTCTCCAAAGATCTACACAGTATGTGATGGGCTGACACTAAGCAATGCCTATATCTCTTCTCCAGAAGCCATTTCCCATTCATCACTTTTAGCTCCCCGTACCATATGGCTTTTATCTATGACCCCTGCAAGTTCTTAGTGGACAGACACACACATTGTTACAAATATTTTGATCATATAATCGATTAAATCATATCAAAGGGTTAGATATGATTATAATTAGAAAATGGCAAAGTATAAGGTATAGAACTATTACTACTCTGTGTTTGGAATGTGTAACCTTACAAACCTCACCAAGAAGTTACTGGACCCTCATGTTTCAGTCAAGAAGCTATGGAGACCATTGTGCTCAACAGTTATGCTCCCTGTTGGGGAATGAAAAAGTTAATTTTAATCAGTATAGGAGCAACTTATTTGGTATTAATTATGTGTTGAGAAAAACTTAGTTTGGAACCTGTAAGCATTGTGGGTGCAATAGGGAGGAAAGAGAACAGTATTTTCTTTTACAAACGTTACTCTTTAAGTTAAGAAAACAGTGGGAGGCACATCATTGTGTATGAGCCTGAATGAACAACGCCCTTGTTGGAAAGAGATTTATTGGGAAAATTGGATCCTTAAATAACTGTCCATGATGAAGAAATATAAATTAAAATACCAGATTCAAAAGTTGTTGAGGCAAAGATTTTTATGTTACTGAAATGGAGGCTTTGGGGGTTTGCTTAAGTTAGCAATATGAATTAAGCATTTAAATTTTAGCATGTAGATTTGTGTGTTGAATTTTAACCTTTTACTTAAGAAACCTCTG